AAAAACAAAATGGAATATTCATAGACAGGGCCAGATTTCAGTACAATCTCCACATACATAACTTAGGTTATGGCTTGTCCACAGAAGCTTTCTAATCCTGATACTGGTCCAGAAGTAGTTGGGAGTTCTGGATTTGAATCTTGGCTGTGACCTAACTTTGAACTAGAATTAATCTCTCTGAACCTGTTTCCCCATTTTACAAATGGGAATAGTCTGTCTTGAATTTTTACCTTTTAGGGTAAAGGTCAAGTTTCTGGAGTGTAGTAAATGCTCATTTACTGTAGTAAATATTGTTAGTTCCCTACTACTCCCTCTCTCAGATTACTTTTTATTGTAAAATTAGTACTCACTTTTTCTGAAAATGTATAACATCAGTGTTTTTCTTATGCTCTCATTCGATTCTAAAACCAAATATATGTGAATCTGCTTTACCAATACAGAAACTCAGACAAATGATTTGAAGTAAAGTGGGTGGATACTGTGGGCAGCAAATATAGCGTTGTAAGTGTGGACCAGGACTCATCTCAATTAGCTCTTGCCTCCTGGGGAAATACACAGGTGCTACCTAGATCCCAAAGCCCGTTTGACTGCTAGTACCTCTGTTTGTCTTTCTGAATCTACTTCATTCACACCCACATAAGGAATCAAGTGCGTTGAATCTGTGGTGGAAGACAGGTAACAAAGCAAGACTATGGTGTAAAATTCGATAATAGCAGCCTTAGGCATACTGCTTAACCATCACATTGTTTCCCCAAGGAAAAAAATGGGATTAACAGAACCTACATCAGGCTAATTGGGCATTGAATGAAAACATGAAAATGCCTGTATGCTTAGCTTAGTACCTGAGTCCCATGATAACATGAGCCCCAATTAAAATAAACACAACTTAACTTGGAAGATTTTTCTCGCCTGGATCTTTTCTAGACTATTTATTTAGTTTCTTGCAGAATGTGCTTGTATGGACTTCCAAGCATAAAGAGAAGTCCTAGGCTTATTATTGTGGGTATAGTGCATAAAATAAACTGTGCTTTGCAATCGAGTATAAAATTCCCAAGTACAGATCAACTT